GCATCAGGATGGATTTTATGGAGTTCTAGTGAGAAGCCGTGACGAGTAGATTTCAATCGTGTTTGTTGTGATGCAGTTAGTCACTGGAGACAGTGGTGGATGGTTGCACAATATCGTGGATTGGTTGAAGTTTGACATTAACACCGTTGAATGCCGGTCGAATCATTGGTCTACAGGTTAAGCTTCTGAACATGTGGCCGAAGTTTGTCGGTTCGAATCCTAGGAGCGAGATCGTAGATGCACGCTTCTGTGGGAGTCCTATGATAGGACGAGAGGGACCGTTCAGTTCTTCCAGCTTTTCCATGATGGTCCAGCTAAACCGATTCACGAATTCAATCATTAAATCAACATATATTTAGAATGGTAAAACAGTGGTTTGTGCTAACTATATCGAATTAAGTATTTTATAGCGATAGTCAGGAATAGAATGTCTGACAGCAGAACATCAACGAAATTAAGGAGGAGGAAACACGAGAACATAATTCAAACGGTTTGAAAATGCATGAACATTGAAGTCGGGAACGATGGACCGATATTTGTAAAATGAACTGTCAAGTTTAAGACAGTTGATTAACATTTGGCAAATTAAATATTCACTGTATGGTTCTCAGATTTGACTTACCTGTTCTGTAGTATTGTGTTCAAATTGAAGATGACACAGGTATTCAGTGTTTGACAACGCTTCTACCAGCAACACTTTCTAATATAATTTTTACCCACCGAGAGAAATCAAAAAACGGAGTCGAGGAGATCGGAAGAGTGTATTTGGCGATTACCAATATATCGGAATTCTCTGATTTAATATGGACAGCGATTGCTGTAGATGTTGAGCACAGCGTTACCACACGTGATCTGGTGCGGATGAATGGCCGGGCGATTTTAGCTGGATGAGTCCACTAAAACATATGGTCAGCATCCAATGTCGAAAACCTACAGAGCTATTTATTTTCAGTATTTATTTATCGCTACAAAATGTATTCGATTGACTTCATTTGTATTCTTGTTCACTACAATACTACTTGAAAAGAATACGTTTAAAATGTCAATACTGCTTGGAAGGAATATATCACTTTGTAAGATAAATGAGCCGATTGGACTTGCACTACTTGTGGTGCAAATTTAGACGATCGTCGTGGAAGTACACGAAATAATGAGGCATTAAAATTAATAGCTAACCCGACATTACGGTGAAATATTTGAGGCGTGCAAGGATGATTCAACGACAGAGTAACCACCGACAGCCTTGATTCATGGA